CCTAATTCAACTTGACAGATTTCAGGTGTATTTTATACGTGTTTTGGGTGTAATATTCATATTTACCTGTTTTAACAGAGCGAGAATGCGACAATTTGTGTTACTCCGTATGGAATGAACAGAAATTATTATTCAGGTAAGTTGCTAAACGAAATATATCGACTTGTTGTCTTAACCTCTAAAGCAGGCTACTTGTTACTGGACCCTTTACAAGCACTTGTATTTGTTCAAAGTACCTGTACAAGCTCAAATATGACCTACACAGCGGCGCCGGAAGGGTAAGGCGACTAAGGCATCGAACTTAGGCCTCGCGCTTGATAGGCCTCGCACCGGTGTCTGAAATACCATTGAGAAGATGTAATGACATCCATAAATACCAGTAATAATTTAATAAAGTTTCACGACTGCCAGAAAATGTTTTTGTGTACATTGCAATTTGCAAGGTGAATGTTCTTTGCATTCGCTTAACACTTTCTGTTACAGCCACAGCGGAAGTTTGAATGACCCTTAGCATATCATAATTCATTGAATGAAAGAAAATTGCTGAAACGCCAGAAATTGCACCATTTAGTTCCTCTTTTTGTTTTCACACTCCCACTCAGTCGTCAGCTATATCAAGTTTCGTATATAATGTGGTCTTTATTTAAACAAATATTTTATGCCAATTTATATCATATTCGCATGGGGCGAGATTCAGCTCAAGTTAAACGCGCGTGCTGTAAAGAGATAAAGATATTTTTATACCTTACTACCAGTGTATAATGATCTTTGCTACCAGTAGACTAGTACGTACCTACCTACAAAGATTATACATTTGTGATTGTGATTATTTAATTAATATTGTTTTCAATTTTCCATTCGACGGATTTTACTTCATTTATTGACCAATTTCCCTACATTAATGTAAGTAAGTACTTTTAACTTTACCTACTTGTTTGTACCTAATTTGTAATAAGCGCTTAGTAACGTTCTTACTATCCTATTTTTATTACCTAATAGACACCCTCAGCCCTCTTACATGGCAACGTGAAGTTGTGATGATATGAATGACTAATACTAATAACTAACAACACTATTATATAACTTTTATAATTATAATAATAATGTTTATTTGTGCTCATTGTGCAGCTATGGCTTTACACTAGTCAATAGGTATAGAAAAACGGGCATCTTATGCGTATGTGTCGCATACCTAACATTATGCATAATTTCAGTTTACATCCACAAATTTACCTTTATGTTATCACATCTGTGTTTACCATATTTTCCCGAGAACTACCCTACCTATCATAGGCCTCTTCGGCGCATTTTGCCTTAGGCCTCCTAAAGCCTAGCGGCGGCGCTGAAGTCACCACCCGTATATGGCACGAACGTTTGCCTGTAATTCTGTTACTTATATTAACTGCGCTTAGTCGCTTAGAGAGATGAAAGTATACCCCCATTTGGACCTGATCGCCCACTAACCGTCGTCGCAAGGAAATTATTTCGGAAAGGGTTACTTATGTGAAAAAAAGGGAAATTCGACAAAATTCTCAAGCCCTTTTTGGTAAATGGGGTGAGAGAGGAGGTTGTAGGGATACGGCCTTAATGAGAAATTGTGTGTGACAAAGCTTATAGTTTCATAAAAGGAAGGGCTGCGTGAGGGGTATTCTCGCGCCTTTGGAAAAGTATGGATTCATAATGTTTCACAATAATCGCAATTTTCAAGAGCTATCTCCCATTGAAAAACACGTGAATCCCCTACTGTTTCACTTGATACTCTTTCAGTTCACATGTGCAAATGGCGACCGGTAGAGTTACGCAATTTATGGACGCATTAGAAGCCTGCATAATTATCAGGTATTTCATGTCACCTGAAGCTCTCGTAATTAAATTATTCGAATATTTGGAGTACTCGATATCTGAAGATAAACGCCAAATGTAGGCTATGATCCATAATGGCACGCTATCACTACCGTAATTGGCATTTACAATTAAACGAATCAAAAACGCTTTGGGGGCGTGCTTTGATGAAAGTATGAAGCGTGGGTATCCAAACGCATTGCCTAACCCAAACTAACGGTTCAATTTTCTAATAGTCCACATAATCTAATTAGGGAATTGCAATGAATTAATAGTTAAAGATATGCAAATACGCACTAATCCTTCTACTTCTTAAAGCACTAACTCAGGGCGATCGCGAAAGTGCAACAGATGTAATTCAGAAGTCCGTTTTCCCAGAACTTGTCACATTATTTGTAACTTTCCAAACTAATCGAATTGTAGTTAGAAGTTAGTTTTCCTTGTAAAGCGGATATTAAACATTGATCAAATTTAATGAGGGGAACCGTTATTTATCTGTTAAGTACGGATCGTAATTAGGAACTTTTTTAATTGCCGTCCTTGCCGTTTAATTTCAGCAGGAAAGAGAAAATAGACCAGCGGTCCCTTTTCTGGCAATTGAGTCGGATAAGAATACGTTTCCCTTAAAGATTTCATTACTCCAGTTGAAAGTGTAGGTGTACGTCGTGATCGTGACTGTGGAGTGTAACGAAACGCTGTTCTACATTTACAACCCCATGTTGCGTGTTAATTTTCATCCTTAGCTCTACATTCAGGCATGAGGGAAGACATTCTAAGGACGTAAAGCCAAATTGAGCATTTATTTTAATTTTAGCTAAAAGCTGCTGGAATGGGATTTAATAAATTGTTATTATGTTTATTTACAACAGCGCTTTGAGCAGAAGGGGGCAAAGGACGAAAGTTTAGCAAACTTTTGTACAAAATGCTTAGGAATGAATATTTTAGGTAGGTAGCTATGCAAACCCAAGGTAGGAAAATGTGCGAAACAGGTCACAAGGTAAAATGGCTACCAAGTGCCCTGAACCAGAATGATCTGCGGGCTATAGTAGTGCACAATATACTACACCATCACATTAGTAATGTAATATTTATTTTTGCCTCTGTGATTCCCAAGTACGTATACTGCAAAGGGACAAATAAGTACGTAGGTACTGTACGTGGATCACCTCGATTCATGTGGAGTAGTTGAATAGGTATTGCAAATATTGGTTAAATTCTGAACTGTGTTATTGCTAATAATACTAATAAGGGAGTTGCTGACAATATCGTTGACAAACAAACGCGCCCTAATTGTTTCATTTGATTTGCACAAAGCTGCTTTGTGGAAATTAATTTATTTGTGTTTGTTTTCGTTCCTTTAATATCAAAGGTTCTTTTCGAAGTATGAACTTTAGATTCTGCTGTTCATAATTAAATGAAACGAATATGATGAATGTGGTTTCTAAATTGGTATAATTCTTAAAACGAGATACTTGGTAGAAACAGCATTCTTCCTATTAAGAAAGTTGCGATTGACATTAACCGATAAGTAGATTAGGTACCTCCCTAAAAATGTCTCCAATACTTGCGGTCCAATAATCCACAACAACCAAAAGTTTCATTACAGTTAGTTAGTAACTAATTGTAGATGACAATATATATCTTTTATAGGCACTGGAGGATAAAATAAACAAGTAAAAAACTTTTCGCCGTAAGGCGAATAACTTTAGTGCATTTTCCATGCATTGATCAGTACTTCTCAAAAGGTCATAGGTATGTGCGGTATGTTTTTCTTTACTAGAAGCATCTATGGTTAAAATTTCGAAGAAATGTTTCCATAAATAACAAAGTTGGCATTGCGCATGAGCACTTTACAATATGAGATATTATGAAAAAAGTTCACTCTTTTGAGTAACGCTACACAAAATTGGCGCATATGCTCTTTGACGCTTCCTATTAAAGTTCCGACGTGGCGCTACGTTCGTTTGCCCCCTAATCTGAGAGGGGGGGGGGGGTGTCATACACATGTTGATTGCACCATTGCACAAGTGATGAAAATAAGAAAGTATAGGTATGTGAGGAATAAAGTAGAAAATTGGCTTGAATGTGTAGAGAAATTAGCTAAGGCTGGTAAGAATTTCCCCCAAAGCTGGATATATCGCTTTTGTGAAATCCCTCCAGAACGAATTAGTACTAGCGGTATAACGGAAATTCTTGAAAGATACTGCATTTTTTTATACCAAGGTGCCACTTGGTACAGTTGTTCCTTAGAGCCATTTAAACGATTTGACCCGAAGAACACGTGACATTTGCCGTGTGGGTAGATTTTAGAGGGGGTGGGGGTGATTTATTGTAACATTTTTTTAAAAACTAAATATGGCCTAGAGACGAGATCTGGGTTTCGATTTCGTATGATTTTAACCCGAGGAATCCAATGGTAGCGCCAGAAATGTAATCCGGATACCGGAAGTCCGTGAAAAGCCGCCATTTTTTGGAAAATGACAGACTTTTGATCGAATTATATTTTTAAGGCACACCGGGTCGTGTAAGGTGTCTAGAGTTATGTTTTTGGGTCAGGGAATTCATTTTTGATAACAAATATAACCTACTGGCATCAGAACTGCATGAAAGGCTTCCCTACTGCACTTTTTGAAGACGTCGCACGCG